AGATGGAAACTGTAAAGCACATTATTGTTTCATAGTTTATTAAACTGAGTAACTTCTTTAAAGACAATTAACTTTATGATCATTTTTAGAATTATGTGTACGAATGATTTCATATTTATTGATAAATGTATTTAATAAAAATGAAAGCTGATCGATCCAAATATCAAAGGAAAAAATTTGAAAACCAGTTTCGGTAGACAAATTATCTTTGAATGTTGCAATTGAAATTTGATTTTATTCCGTTTTGTTTATTCAAATTACAACATACTCGTAAAAATATTTCATATTGTATTAATTGAAAACATTTAAAATATTTACAAAATATCACAAAGAAATTAGAACACGCACGCCCAAAATGGAGGCTGAAACACAAGAGCATCAACAATCCACACTTCCTCACTCTAACATGGAATCTATTAGAATATTGTTTTTGTTTTAAATAAATAAATAGTGACTAAATTATATCTATTCCCTTTAGAATTAAATTATATATTTTAGACTATAAATTTGTTATTTTGTTTTGAATAACTCCCAACTCATTAATTTAAAATATAAGAAAAATTTTACTTTATAATTATAATGTAATATTCCATGTGGAATATTTTAAATAGAAGTAGATAGAAATTTTACATTTATTTATGTGTAATGTTTATATATTACCATTTTAATATGATATATTGTCCAGAGATTAAAGAAAATAAAATGTTAACCTGAAAGTTTTATCCTTAATTTATTAATTTTTTTGTAATTAATTTATTTAGTTATTAAAAATTACAATTAATTAATGCTCCATTAAAACAGTAAAACTATTTCTCTATAATTTATAATAGAATTTAATTAGAAACGAGCAATTATTTATTGTCACATCGTCACAATGCTGGGCTGCAATTTTTAATCATATTTTTAAAATTTATTTCATTTGAAATATATGCTTTCCACCTCAACTTAATACTGTATTGCCTTGCCCCTGTACAATTTTTTTTAAAACTGCAGCCCAATAATTTGTAATAATAAATTTGACTGAATTTTTAGATTAATTTAAATTTATTTATGTAAACTTGCTGCTAACGCTAAAAATAACAACAAGCAAAATTTGCATGAATCACAAGATAATGTATTGATAATAGAAGTGATAATTTCAGATTAGAGCAATATTTTTGGTCTATGATTTAAAAATTTTATATGAATAAATTATTAAATAATAATAATAAGTAATTAAAAGTAAAATATCCATAAATAGCAACGTTTATTTATTTTCATTTTAAGAAGTAAAGATTAAGATATTGATCTCCATAATTAGAAATTAAGATGAATATAAATGTAATTATTATAATAAATGATGTAGATATTAATTTACGGATATTTTAAAATTATTTAATATATTAAAATGCGAATGATGATATAAAAAAATCTTTCTAATTCAATTTATTAAGATAAAATTAAGTAAATTTTTGGAAAAGAAAAAGATAAATTAAAAAGTAATCATTAAACAGAAAAATTCAATAAGAGATTTAATAGAATTGAATGAGATATTTAAATAAAATTAATTTATTAAGTAACTAAAAATATCTACAGCAATGGTAATTGCTTATTTACGTATGTTTTAATCAAATATATTTTTTATTTTACTTGTTTCTACAAGTAAAACAAAAATATATAACAGTCCCTCGCTTTACGACCTTGGAGCTTTTCAATCTCTAAATCTTATTTAAATTCCAATTTTAAGTCTTCGATAATTATACGAAATTCCGCAGTTTTTGTGATTTTTTATGTATAATGTTAAATAAATAGAGTTGTATTTTCGTGAACTTAATCTAGATTTATTACATTGTCTTTATAGAAAATAGTATAGCTCGGTTTACGACGTCTTTCTAGGAGTCAAAGTCTACCATATTTAAATATTTATATATATATATTTAAAATTTAATCTGATATCCAGATAATTAATTTAATTGTATAAACTAAATTACAAAATATTTTAAAAAATCTAATGTTTTGTATGTTATTATATCTTATATAAATATGTTTTTTTTTTCTTTTTTATCTTGAAAGTTAACGTCATTCTTGCCAAGAAAAATAAAAGATTTTTTAAAGGAAAGTTTTAAAATATGAAATAAATAAATAAACACAAGTAGAAAGTTAAAACATTGTTTTATTTATATTTTGGAGACAAATCCATCTTCCTTGACTTTAAAAGAAAATTAACAAATTGATAAATTTTCAGTTTTATTTTTAAACATTTTGTTGTTTTATTTATTTATTTAATTCTTTTTATTTTATAATAAAACAACGAATAAACTTTTTAATCATGAAAATTGTCAGATTCTATAAATTTATGTCTCTTTTTAAAAATTAATTTTTAAAATTTAAAAGACATTTCTTATTTAATTGCACTCTTCCTCTCTTTCCCTATGTGTTTATATATCATTTATTATGATTATACGTAAGTATAGTCTTCAGTATTCCAGTACACGTAGAATAAATTATATACATATGAAACCTTTAAGATATGAAACTTAACACGGAGACAGATGAAATTTCAAGTAAAAATAGCTTTGAAAATCAATTTAAAGAATCGATAAATGCAGCGAATGCTCTTGTCTAATAAATAATAAGTTATGTACGCAGTAAAACGGAATCATAAAATAACTTCTGGAATTAATTTATTTATGAGCGTAGTCGTAGCAAATGGCTGCGATGCTCCTGTTCGTTACTGTCGATTATTAAAAAAGAAAAACATCTGTTCGATATTTAAAAAGAAAGTGTATTTAATGTTAAGTAATTTTCAGATTTATATTAAAAATATATTATTTGAATGGGACACAGTAAACGCATGGAAATTGAATAATCCGCCATTTTGAATTACGCCACTTATTTATTTTTAAGGTTTTTAAACTTTGATTATTTTATTTAAAAGCATCAATTGTAAATAATAAATTTTTATTATGATTAAAGAAATCGGTATACATTATATTTTGGTGTTAAATTATATATTCAGTTTGCTATTAAGCGATATTTTCAGATTAAATTATTAAAATAAATCGAAAATACGTTGCGAAGTAATTTATATTTAAGATCTAGGCTATTTTTTCTTGAATTAATCTCTCATTTATGCCGCTCGGGATATGGCTAAAATAAAGATTTAGAAGAATTATATCTGCTAATATCTAAGCTTTGTTGAAATATTGTCTTCTACATCTTACAGTCCCACTTTACTATTTGTGGCTTCACAACCCTCATAGTCATAAGTGAGGGCTTATCAGGGCTCGCCGAAAGAATGGAGAGTTATTGGTTCAAAGATTATTTTGGGCCTCCCCTTTCGGAGAATCTGTTTATACAAATAACATAATTATATTGAAGTACAAAAATAATCTTGTATAAATATTAATCGTTGGCCGAAATTTATTTCATTTATTTGTAATTTTTCTTCCTCTGATGGACCACCCTAAAGTTCATGGGCCCTGACTGCACCTTCCTCTCATAGAGCCTAGGGTTTTTACTAGGGTTTATAGGGATATAAGTGTATACTAGTGACTAGTATATTTAATTAAGTGCTGTATATTTCTATTTTCTAAGAAAAACAATTTCAGTTTATGACAACCTTCACCTACATCACCTATGCTGGTTCGATCCTATTGCGGATCAGGTCGTCCATGATGACATATTTAAAGTCGTGTATTACTTATATGTATTACTTATTACTTATATGCTGGTATCCTGCGTTGATTGATTGATTGATTGATTGATATCAATTCATAACTGAGAATATGAGAAATAGAAATATTCGCTTTGCAACGTTGTTTCATGACGCAATTGGATCGTAAAAGTGGACTTTACTACTACGACTTTACGTTATGCACAAACTGCTTCAACGGAAGAGATTCATAAATGGACTGTTCTGCTTGCGTAGATGAAAAGCTTAAATTTGAATTATAAGCAGAAAATAAAATAAAATTTAAACTTTTTTCTGTCTGGGGCACTAAGAGATATTTTTCATATTCATTGTCCCATTATGAATACGGCCAGGCTTGGTTTAGTGACTGCCAAGTGATGTCGGACAGGGTTCAACATATCCGATCAACTTATCCATGAAAATTTGAACCAAACCAGGACTCGAATCCTAGTCTTTCGCTTCTCCTATTAGATCGTTAACCATATCCATTACGAGTTAGGCCCGAATGGAATTGGCGGATAGAAAGATCTAGATATATTCGAACCGGTCAACACGCCAAAATCCCAGAGAATCTGTTTGAACTCGGATCCTTAGACCGGCTTTGAGCATCAAGCAGTAATGTGTTAATCGCTCCACCATTCACTGTAGTTAACTTTATTGTACTAAATACAGCTAATATAGAAGAAATATTAGAATTGTAATCGTACAAAACTTGTAATATTTCTATTTTTCTAAAATAAGATGCTATTTTGATTTTTAAAATTTATTTACTTTAAAAAATAATGAATGGGTGAAGCGATGTCAAGGTCGGGTTTATTCAAAACAGTTTTTCTCACTCCGCCTAAACGAAAAATGCACATTCAATGCAAATTTATTATAATTACTACATTTTCACTCTTCTAATTTTAATGGCGACGTAAACAGTAATAAATATAAATTTCTGGTATCGGTAGATTGTGACGTAAAGGTCGAACTGTTGTCGTTTTCTTCCTCCACGTGAATCACCTCGACGTCTTATTGGATAAATTATAAATCTATGAGTCATCGAAGTGAATCATTAATCAGTCCGGAGTTTAATGCACTAAATAATCGAAACGAACGGCGTAAATATAATAGAAACATTACATATAAAATTGCGTTTAAATATTCGAATTATTTTAAATTAGATAAAAATTATAATTATTTTTAATAATAAATTAAAATAAATATGAATAAAAATTAATTATTATTTTTTATAATTTCGTATTTAAAAATGTCGTTTGGAAAAATAGGTGCAGCTAATGTCGCAGTGACATCATTTAACGACACGTCAAAAAGCTTATACGTTATTGGATAAAATCGACGTCGAGGGGGCGCTGATATACGAGTTGGAAAAGAAACGAATCGGTGAGACGTTAATGGCGAGTTTTGAATTTTTGTGAATCGAAGTTGGATTCTTTTTGACTAAGTAACCGAATGATTGGCTACGAATCGATGTATTTAAATCGTTAGGAGTGCTGGCTGTGGAAAGACGTCGTCAACCATCCAAGTCGTGTGTTGTTTACTTGTAACGGTGATTTTTATAATTTTAGAATGGATGAGGAGGACATCACCAAATTGTCGATCGAAGACAGATGTCAACATAAGGTGTGGAAGGTCAGAGTTAATGGCTATGAAGAGGCATCCAAGTTATTTAATAATCAGCGCGATGAAAAAAGTCCAGAATTCCAAAAATATTTAGGTTTAGTCAAGAAATTTGTCGTCGATAATAATGTGGTGGCTCAGGAAAAGGGATTGTGTGCCGTGTTGGCTTATGTGGAAAATGCGGCCTGCGCCGGTAGAACCTGTGGCGAGGTCATGAACGGCATCGTGACTAAATGCATGGGAGCTCCGAAGGCAAAGACTAAAGAATTGGCACTTGACATTCTAATGATGTATATAGAAATAGAAAAACAAGATGTAGTGCAAGAAGAACTATTAAAGGGACTTGAAAATAAAAATCCGAAAATAGTTTCCAGTTGCACATTTGCTTTCAGAGAAAGTCTCAAATGCTTTGGTTTGCATGTCGTTAATATAAAGCCGTTAATTAAAGTTCTACCGAAACTTTTTGAAGACAGAGATAAGACCGTGAGGGAGGAAGCCAAGTTACTTATGGTAGAAATCTATCGATGGATTAAAGATGCCATTAGACCTCAGCTGCAGTCGTTAAAGCCGGTTCAGATAACTGAATTGGAAGCGGAATTTGAGAAAGTCGTCCGAGATAAACCGGTGCCTACTCGTTTTCTTCGATCTCAACAGGAAATACAGGCGAAAGCTGCTCGGTCTGAAGAAAAGTCGGCATTTGACGACGAGTGTGTGCCGGTTCGGCAAGAGATCGATCCGTTCGATTTGATCGAAGCCGTCGACATATTGTCGAAACTGCCAAAAGATTTTTACGAAAGGTGCGAAGCGAAAAAGTGGCAGGAACGAAAGGAGGCCGTCGAACAACTATTTCAGTTGACGTCGAAGCCGAAATTGGAAGCCGGTGATTATAGTGACTTAGTTAAAGTACTTAAAAAATTTATAAGCAAAGACACCAATGTGTTAGTTGTGGCTTTAGCGGGAAAATGTTTGGCTGGATTAGCAAATGGACTTCGTAAAAAATTTCAACCTTATGCTGGCCAGTGTATTCCGGTCATCTTAGAAAAATTTAAAGAAAAGAAACAAAATGTGGTCCAAGCCCTTCGTGAAGCAATTGATGCCATTTACGAATCAGTAAGTCTCGAATTTATTCTAGATGATACTGTCAATGCATTAGATAATAAGAATCCACAAATAAGGGCTGAAACTGCAGCCTTTCTTGCAAGATGTTATTGTAAGTGTACACCAATGATTCTTTCTAAGAAACTATTAAAACCTTTTTGTGTATCACTTATCAAAACTTTGAATGATACCGATCCGTCTGTAAGAGAAGCTTCGGCCGATGCTTTGGGAACGGCTTTGAAGGTTGTTGGAGAAAAAGCAATGGCACCTTTTCTTCAGGAAGTAGATTCAATCAAAATGGCTAAAGTGAAAGAAAGCTGTGAGAAAGCAGTAATTGTTGCTCCTCAAGTTCCCATTAAAGAAAGTAAACCGTTGGGTCCACCAAAAGTGCAGAAAGGACCGCGTATAACTATTCCCTCCGACAGTGGAAAAGACGATAGTACTACTATACCGACATCAAAACGAAATGAATCCATTTCAAGAATTAAGAGTGCAACATTTACTAAAAGTTCAAAAAAAGCCATCATGGCTAGGAAAAATATTACCGCTCCACCACCCTGTGATGGTCAGAAAGAAGTTTTTATGGAAAAAGAACTCAATGATGATGAAGTAATGATGCAGGCTAGTGAGTTACTTGGAGATGAAGTAATAAATGGATTAGGAAATACTAACTGGAAAGAGAGATTAAGTGCAACAGAAAAATTTCTGGAGATAGTCCAGAATATGAATAAAGAAAATATTCCAGCACAAGTCTTTATAAAAATTTTAGCTAAGAAACCTGGATTTAAAGAAAATAATTTTCAGGTCTTAAAATTAAGATTTGATTTATTAATATACATAACTGAAAATGCATCTGTATCTAAAGTTACAGTAGAGACTTGTTTATCTGATATAGTGGATAAAATTGGAGACCCAAAAAATGGTTCAACTGCTGCATTAGCAATTACAACTTTTGCAGAAGCTACTAACTTAGAATACATTAGTCAGGAAGTTTTGCAGCATGCTTTTTCTCAAAGAAATCCAAAAAATCATTCCGAAGCTATATTGTGGTTAGCAAATGCTATCAAAGAATTTGGCTTAAAAGTAAATGTTAAGACTGTAATAGATTATTTAAAGAAAGCTTTTGCTTCTACAAATCAAACGGTGAGAAATTCTGCACTTGTACTTCTTGGTTCAATGTATCTATATGTAGGAAAATCATTAAGAACATTTTTTGAAGATGAAAAACCAGCATTATTACAATTAATTGATAATGAATTAACTAAACTTCAAGATGCAAAACCTCCACCACCAACAAGAGGTTTAAATTATAAAAATCTCAATAAGGAAGAGAATGAGAGAGAGGAACAAGCAGTGATTCCTTCACAAGTCAATTTGACTGATATCATTCCAAGGACTGATATAAGTGATCAGATTACATCCAGTTTACTAACTGAATTGTCAGATAAAAACTGGAAAGTACGAGGGGAAGCTTTACAAAAATTATCTACCATTGTGAATGAGGCTAAATTCATTACTCCTAATTTGGGAGATTTGCCTCATGTTCTGAAAGCTCGTTTAACAGATTCAAACAAGAATCTTTCGATTCAGTCTTTGAATATTTGTCAAATGTTAGGAACTGCAATGGGTCCTCACTGCGTGAAACAGTTGCGTAATTTTGCACCAGGAATGCTTGCAGCTTTTGGCGATAACAAAACGACAGTTAGAAATGCTGCTATTTCTTGTTTGAATACTTGGATGGAACATTGTAATTTAGCTATGCTTTTTGAAGGAGAGACAGTAAGTGATGCTCTTCGCAATGAAAATCCATATTTAAGAATTGAATTACTTGGGTGGTTATCGGAAAAGCTTCCTGAAGCCAAATCTTTGCCAAATGCAGAATTAACTCTTTGCATACCTTATATTCTTTCCAGTTTGGAAGATCGTAATGGGGAAGTGAGAAAAAAAGCTCAAGAAAGTCTTTTACCCTTTATGATTCATGTTGGTTTTGAAGCTATGTCTCGGGCTGCTGGAAAATTAAAACCGGCATCGAAAAATACTGTGATGGCACAGTTAGAAAAAGTTCGTACTGCTTTGCCAGCTAAGCCAGTTTCCAAGCCTAAGATAGGAGTGCCAAAAATTTCAAATACATCACCACCCTGCAATCAGTCAGTTTCTCCAATTAATTCCACAGAAAATTTGGCAGAAGAAAATGTCGTAGTCACAGGAAAAGGCAGACTTAACAGAAGTACTTCAAAATCCAAATTAGCATTAAAAGCAGCTAATACAGCCAATGTGAAAAGTAACAAAAAAGAACAAGAAGAAGATACTTCACCTGCACTTGTTGCAAATAATTTAAAAGATCAACGTATGAATGATGAAAGAGCATTAAAAGTCCTGAAGTGGAATTTTACTACTCCAAGAGAAGAATTCTATCAACAGCTAAAAGATCAAATGACAGCAGCTAATTGGGGTAGGACTCTTTTAGTTAATTGTTTTCATAATGATTTCAAATATCACATAAAAGCTATTGATACTCTTAATGAATGTTTATCTGGAAGCACAGATGCCACTGTAGCAAATTTAGATCTCATTTTGAAGTGGCTTGCTTTAAGATTTTTTGATACCAATCCCAGTGTTATTATTCGTGGATTAGAATATCTACAGCAATTATTTAATTCACTCGTTAACTTGGGGTATCGTATTCTGGAGCTTGAAGCTGTGTCCTTTGTGCCGTACCTCATTTTAAAAATGGGTGATCCAAAAGATACTGTCCGGAAAGGTGTTAGAGAAATTTTAAAATTAATGTGCCAAATTTATCCTTCGAGTAAAATATTTTCCTACATCATGCAAGGTTTGTCAACAAAAAATTCAAGACAGAGAACTGAATGTTTGGAGGAACTGGGTTTCATGATTGAAAGCTATGGAATGGCTGTGTGCCAACCATCTCCTGCCGCTGCACTAAAGGAGATAGCCAGACATATTGCCGATAGAGATAACGGTGTTCGAAATGCATCGCTAAACTGTGTTGTTCAAGCTTACTTCTTGGAGGGAGAAAAAGTATATAAATTTGTGGGACAATTATCAGATAAAGACATGAGTTTATTAGAAGAACGAATCAAGCGTTCTAGATTACGTGGTACTTCCAATTCAAGAGAAAATCAGAGAGATGGTAATTCTACTTCACCACAGACAAACAAAATTAGTCCACCAACTCAACAGCCAGCTGTTAATGCAGAATCTCAAAATGAAGCTATTTTGAGAACAACTGGAAAAGGAAGAATTCCACGCCCACGTTCAACAGGACCATTTAGTTTAGAAGTAGATGATATCGAACAAATGTTTAAACCAAAACAAGTAGAAAGCAAACTGCCAGAACCTGTTGAAATAAATGCAGAAGAAATATTAAATCTGCCAGATATTCAGCTACCTCAAACAAGATTAAGACCACCTGCATCAGCTGTGAAACTTCTGAACAGCTCAGCCGAAGCCACCGTGGCATTGAACTTAGTGATGGCTCAGCTAGCTGCCCAGGAGATTCCAGTAGTAGTTGAAGCTTTTGCCCAAGTTGAAGAAGTATTAAGACAAGAAGACAAGGCTGAAGCAGTACTAGGCTCAAGAGTAGATCAACTGTTACTAATGGGGGCTCTTCAATATCGTTTGGCTCATAACAAACACATGGCTGATGAAAACATATGCAAGGCAGATGTGATTCGTCTATATCGATGTGTGTCAATGACACTACTGTCACTTTTCGATCATAAAACACTAGCAAAACGTGCCAGTCGGGATGTTCTACGTGATCTCATTCCACATTTAATTACTGTTATGTTGGATACACGTTTAAATGAGTTACAAGAAGGTCCACAGGTTGTGAGAGCTATCAATGTACTTACTGTACATATTCTCCAACGTTCTAATCCAACTCACGTTATGAGTGCTTTAATCAAACTGTTACATGATTGTGTTGGTAGTTTGAATGCTTCAGAAAGATTTACAGAGTTGGTAATGAAATGCTTATGGAAAATGTTAAGAATGATGGGTAATTATATTGATGAATTGAATGTTGATCGTATATTGCTAGATCTCCACGTATTTTTGAAAACCTACCCATCGTCATATTGGAGGGACAGACCATCAGATACTCCAATCAGAACTGTGAAAACAGTTTTGTACACATTAGTTAAATATAAAGGAGAAGACATTACAAAACATCTGATGTTAATCCCTAATCGTCAAGATTCTGATTTAGTTATTTATTTACAGAAGTTAATTTACATGAGAAAAGATGGGGATTTGAAGACTGGCTCAGGAACAAAGACAAGTTCCTCTTCACACTTTGATAACCAACCAGAAACTGGAACAGGAGGTTCAAAAAAGAGTAAAAATTCTCCAATGCGATTGTCAAAGTCTACTCATGAATCCTTAGCAGAAATTTTCAAAAAAATAGGTTCCAAAGAACATACTAAGGAAGGTTTAATGGAATTATATGAATTTCGACAGAAACATCCTCAGGCAGATATAGAGCCATTCCTTCAGAGATCATCTGAATTTTTTCAAGATTATATCCGTAAAGGATTAGAGACAATAGATCAAGAAAGAGGATCACACAAAACAGAGGCTGCTGCTACTACTTCACCATCTCCATTTGCCTTTTCTGATTTACAGAATGCAAAAACTGTAATGACATCTACGCCAACTAGTAAAGAAAATCAAACTGCGGGAAACAATAAAACTCGAAATAATTCTAATACAAATAACTGGTCTCAGAATTTTCCACCCGTACCACCCGATTCGGAAGACACCACACCGATGGACTGGATCGAATGGCTGAAATCTGTCGCTGCACACTTGGGTCAAGATAGTTCAAAGTATGACGATCCCACTTTACTACAGAGAATTACAGAAACGCCTTTTCAACAGACCGAATCGGGCATCATGTCTGAAGAAGAAATGAAGTACATCCAAAACGGTGTTGAAGAACTGAAAGCGATGTTAGAGAACTTCAAACAGCAGTACTATAAGGAAATGTGCGTAAACTAAACATAGTTGGAGGTGTTAATTCTGTGATGGTCTTCCCAAAGAAATGTAATCTTCCGTGCTGTGCACTAATGCGTAATTTTGCATAAATAACTAGTAATCTTGTGTAACGTCTTTTTATTTTCATTTTATAGGCTGTAAGATGATTTAAATGTGTAGCTGGTTTTAAGCTTATCACAATGTCTTAATGTGCTGTGATTATAACATTTGAAAGTACATTTGCAACAGATATTTGTTTTGTACAATAATGTGATTAAAGTATTTTCAGTCCTATAATAATAATAATCTACATTGTCATAACTTGCATAACTAATGTTTTTTATTGCCAAGATGCATTCGATCATTGTCAAAAGCACTGGATTTTTGTTTTAGACGACTTAAATATTTCGTATTGAATTTGAAAATACATAAATGAATTCATTGACTTAACTACCGGTATTTAGCCAGAGCTTATTTAATATATTCGAATTTTAAAAATAGAATGTATTACAGTATTGTCTTTGCATCTACTACTTTAATGGAAAAATCTAACGAAAACAATATTTAATTACTTCATTTATTTGAAATCTTGTTAATGCTACGATAATAAAATTCTTCAATAATCATTTAATATTCTATTTTAAAATCTTTATTGAAAAAATTCTTTAAATACACCTCTTTTCAATATCAAGTTATACAGATGATATTTTTATTCAGTAAAAATTTAATTTTATAGAATTTCTTCACAAAATACAAAATATAGTAAGAACATTCACAATACAATATACAGTTTACATTTATGTTTAATTAAAAGCTATTGTTCTTTTAAAATTTGAATAATATAAGCAAAGTTCAAATATTCTGATTCTTAGTTTCTGATGAAATGATTAATTATTTCTATTCAATTTGTTGAGTAAAAAAATATCTAAATTGATTAAGAGAAAAACTGATAAACAATGACAGGAAATGTAAATTTGTTTTACATGATACATTATTTAGTCATTTAGTTCCTCCCAATGCATGTTTTCCTGTATAAGTTTTTGATATAATGAGGGGAAAATGTGCAAGTTTGGAAAAACTTAAAATACACTTTAACGAGCAAATTCTTCCTTCATATTATAAGGACAAGTTTGTTTCACCTGTACTGTAGTTAACTTCAAACAATACAGATTGGAAATTTTTGAATATTTTACCTAATGTAATCACTACTAAAATTTACGGAAAGTTGGTTATTTGAAACTAATGTAAAATGTGCATAGATTTTGATATATATATATATTTTTTATTACTCTACCCTGTGGACACTAAAAGAGCCTTTTTTTCAGATCTGTCATGGGTTTGACCCTCTAAACAGATTATCTCATTTTGATGGGAAATGGGTGTGAGAAAGCATATGATGCCACGAGAGTTTCAGTTTAAATGCTATTGAAAATAATATTGTGATCTGGCTAAATTTTCCTTTTGGGATGAAAATAACACAAATTTAATCAGATGCTATATATAGAGCAAAAAATTATCATTTTTTACACTTTCCTAAAACTCAGGATTCAGTAAAGAATAAAAACAAAGATGCTGTAGACAAGGTAAAATTATCAACACTGCTGAAATTTGCACTAAATGCTTCAAACCCGAGGACTTTATAAAAGAAATTGCAGCAAAAGTGATGAATCTCCATCAGGTGCCTCTTTGATTTTGAAGTTAAAAGAAAATGGTGAGTATTCTTTCATGAAAATATTTACTATATTTATACATAGCGATTTTGATATGTCTTGTTTTATTACGGCACTATTCTTATTTTAGCCATTTCATCTTTGCATTTAATACCCAAAAATGAGAATAATAAATTATTGATACTTAGAATGCAATTAGAAGAAAATTGTGAAATAGCTCCTGAAAAGTTCAGTTTAGGAATTTAAAATGAAATTTTGAGTCATTGTGAGGATGCTTCAGCAGTTCATAAAAGTTTAAAATTTTGAAAAATGAAATCTGATTAGAGAAAATACAGAAATGAAATTAAAATGAGAAAAAAATAAAATCATTACAACAAATTGTTGTGGACAATGATGTCAAATTGGAAACAAATATCAAAAGATATTTTTTTAAGGTAAGTATCAAATGTTTCATTCTAAATACATACAGAATCAGCAAAAAGTTTAAGACAAGTTGTAGTAATTACTATAAAACAGACCAATTTCTATGTATTGCATAGAGAACAGGTGTTTCAGTGATAACCAAGTGGCTTACAAGACATTCTTACAAAAACAAATCAATATACCATCCCTTTTATGGTAATAAATATTAAGTTTCTATTGGATTTTCTAATATTTACCTCATCTTTAGCCAGATTTTAAATTAAATAATCAGTAATTTTAAACCCTTGATCACAGATTCATAATAGATATGATTTAATATATAAATAATGACCAATTGTTTCCTTGGCAGTTAGTTTTCATCATTTATAATATGTTTGTGTTAATTAGAATTGTGTTAAAATTACTTAATAGTTTAATAAAATAGTGTCTATATGAGTGCTTTCCAACCTTTTTTCTAAAGTGATACTTGAAGAACATTCAAAAAACTATATGATACCCTTTCACAAAAAACCAGTAACAAGTTGCTCAATTTTCCCAGCAACATTTAAAATTTTGGTGGTGTCATCTGTTATATTTTATTTAAAAACTTTTTATATTTTTAACTATAATAAAATGGCAAAAACCCTAATTTTGAGGGTAGGGATGGGTTTTATAAAAAAATTGTAAATGCTATTAACAAGTAAAATCATCCATAAGTCCAACCCTAGTGGAGATACATGCGTCTCCTATTATCTCCCCATCCCTTGACATTTAACCACCAAATTTAATAGCATCTATCCCCCTAATAAACAAACCTCCCTGCAAAATTTCAGAAATTTTCAACAAAAAGCACAGGAGTTAATAAGCTTCAAAGAGTGTGAATAAAATTGTTAATTGCCTCTCCATACACACTAACATCCATGCATACAGAAATTGCCCCCAGAATTTTTTGCATTTCTCAACATTTCAAGGTGTCCTAAATCCAAAAATGTAAAAATCTTGGGGAGGGTCATTTTTTGACTGATTACCATACTTTCCCTCTGGTACAGTACATATAACAGCCAGGAAAGTAAAAATAGTTTTTTCAATATGTAGATATGTTGTTCTCTTCAATGTTTTTACAATTAAAACAAAAATTATTGTATTATACTAACTATTGTTGATATTTTGTTATATTCTTCATCCTTTTTTTATTTTAGTGTATTGTTATTTTTACCTACATCAGTAAATTTGTAATCCCCACAAGTTATGTTGAAAAGCACTGGTTTATATATATGTGGAACTGTAAAGTTTATTATTTTATTTTTTACTGACTGCCATAATAATAATGTGAGAGTCTGGAGACCCCCCTTTTCTTTCTTGTGGGAATGTTTATGTAACAAAGGATGATGACTAATAGTGGGTGTGTGTGAATCACAATTCTTAAACAATTACACGAGAATCAAATAACAAAGAGGAAACAAACCTCCGCCCAGGTTATGAAAATCTCATGACAAAATCTTATGACGGCCCACTGGGGTGAAGCTATGACAGAGAATTACCTGATCAAATTCCCACACCTGATGGGAATATATATGAGGTTCCAGGCAGATGCCACTCTTGAAGCTGGACTGAAGCTCTGTCTGCCTGCCCTCATCTCCCATCTCATCTCATTGAACTCTACCTCCAAAGAAGTCTCCCTACCAATATACCTCGGCCAGATCCAAAGACATTGGGTATTATCTCCCCGAGGTATCACACTTAGAGACTTACGTAAACTCTCTCTCAGTTGACTTAAACACAAGTAGCTAATTAGTTCATAGGTTGTATACCTTAGATGTATGATCCAAGAAAATGTCAAGTGTTCCTGTCCATAAATGTAGTACTATAACTCTAGTGTAATCATTGTTTTATTTAGCTTTGTTTTTTTTATTAATTCACCTAAGTCTCGTCTTCTTCAGAGATCAGACCCCATATCCACTTACCTATGGCTTTCTCCACTTGAACTATCAATTACTCTCCATACTAATGCCTGAATCAGCTACTTGGATTTGGTTGTGGCTAAAGCCCTCCTACTCAACATTAGTTTAATATACTCACGAGTTACGACACAAATTTTAATTATCGTAACTGGTGTCAGGAATCCTAGAGAATCTGAGGATCTCAACGATATTTCTGTTAAAGCCATCCAGTGATGCAGTGAGCAGGGCTCATCATCCTGACGTCAGAAAAGGGAGTGGGTTTAAACCGATAAAGTCGACCTCCTCAACTTTTCAGAATAATAAGGATCTTAAACTTTTTGCAAAGTGTATATTCTAGGGAAAAGTTTAAATAATTATATTTAGTAAAATATTTTTCAAAACTACCTCAGCTTTATTATTTAAATTTTCAGATATGTTTATTTTGAAATTTGAAAAAAAAAGTTTAAAGGAAAATGGACAAGTAATGAAATATCTAAACTATTGACAAAAACACCCCAGCAAAAGGTGCTACATTTATTTGCATGAGTCTTAAATATACATTACCAGCAATAACAGCAATAAACCATTGGGTAATAAACAACAATTGTTTTAAGGATAATGAAGATAACCAGTAAATCAAAAAGTGAATTTCTGTAATTTCTTTCACAAAAATTAATATTTCTTCTGTATGTGAATATGACCAAAGAGGAGATAAGATTAAGATGAATTGATAGGGTCTTACAATTACATGCAGACAAGGTCAAGATTGCATGCAATTCGATACAATGCAGTAACATGTGTTTCTGACTATGGAGCAGAAAATGAAGTCCCTTGGAGAGAATTATTGGTGTAAATATAGACAGGTCATTTTTAAATATACAGTACTGCTATAAATCAGAGAATTTTTCCTTATACTCTTTACTTACTAAAATGAAGAAAGTGCTTTATTAGAAGATAGTACAATACTACAGAGAACACTTTTAGAAGAATTAGTGGAAAATACAGAGATAATAGAATGCATTTATGCTACAAATTAACCTCTACATCTCCCATGTAGAAAATCTAGAAGGTAAAATATAGAATTGGATGCACAGTTACTTTAATGTAGCACAGCTGCTGTCCCAAAACTTTTTCTTTTAATTTTTTTCTGAAATAAACACCGAAGAATTGAGAAACTTTATTGAACTAGTAAATAACTGATTTGATGTTAAGAATAGTTAAAGCCTTGAAATACTGGTCACCTACAGAATTATATGGAAATAACTTGGAGGTACGTGTACAAAATAAACTTTTGGGGCAAACAGAACGTTTCTAAAATATGTTGCATGTTGTTAAACATCCCTGCAAGCTTTTCATTGAAATTATCATCCCTTTTTGAAATCATATTTTTCAAGATACAAAAGAAAATTTATATTATACTAGCTGCAAGGACCTGCTTCGCTGGGTTTTTATTTGTTCGTACATTTGTATGTAATATAGTTGTTTTTATATATAAAAGACTGTTTTTCTAAGTAACCTAGAATCTAGCTGCAAGGACCCGCTTCGCTGGGTTTTTATTTGTGGGCAAAAAGTAATGATAGTGAAGATTAAGATAATTACATTATAGCCAATCTTACCCGTTTTCACAGAATGCAAGAATTAGGTCCCACGTTTCCAGACTAATTAGAGACCTGATCCCGATTCTATTTCTGGATGTCTCCTGTTCACGTCAAGTCAAACGAACTATTTTCAACGTTTCTGGAACGTTTACAATCGTTCTATAATCGAACCAATATTCGAANTTCAAAAAAAGATTTATCCTTATTTTTATAGACACTATGCCTGGTCTCCATGTGTCTTTGCAACTTTGCTGGTGCCAACGAACTGTTAGCTAATCTTGTGTGACAAAGTATACAAATGGCGTCTGGGGCTTCTTCATCACCAGTACTAGTAAAGCCATATGACAAATACTGAGGATCATACTTGCGTTTCTTTTTGCCTGGCTGCCGTTCAGAACAAGAGGGAACATATTCCATGTTTTTTGAACTAGTTGCAGATTGTTCCTTTGCAAGTTCATCTTTTTCTGTATCTTCTTTGGATGTTGTTGCTTTACTAATCCTTTTTAACCACTGATCCATTGTAGGGCATTAAAAATAGTAAAAATAATTTGAGTAGAAGAAATGCTTACGGTAACAGTAGAGCAGCACAACCTTACTGCACGTGTGTAACTAACCGATAAAGCCAGCCATCACCAATGTTGCCAACTCTGAATAATCTAGTCTGGCAACACTTGTTGTCAGTGGGAATTCATTGATGTTATAAGATATGATATGTACCAATTTCTTATGTTACGATTAAATGTTGCTTTTCAATGTAGCTTCACGGAACCCCTGACCTTGCTTCATGGAACCCAAGGGTTCCGCGGAACCCACTTTGAGAACCACTGCATTAATACAATCATAACATAAGTAGTAAACCAAGATTAAAAGATTTTTCTGATATATATATATACAGTGCACTGTTTACATAATATAGCTAATTCATTACAATATACTAAAAAACCAAAAAATTACCGAGCATATAAATTTTTTAACGATGAGTTAGAGAAATTTATCAGTTCCAGATAAAATATTTCTTTCTTTTTCCAAATTCTGAGAGATAATTCCACTATTAATAATAAATTATTGTCAATTATATTATAAACCAAAAAAGGGGTGAATTGAATCTATGAACTTACATTATAATTGGTTCTTTGACACATTATTATAATGTAATGATAATTAATCTGATCTTTTCACACACTTATTAAAATAATAAGACCTTTAAACAAAACAAACTCATAAAACAATACAGGGCCAATACCTATTGCAGCTTTGTTACAATTTCCTTGTATAATACGACTTTCACTTCAATGTCTGTTTTTCCTCATTCTCAAGGTTTTGTAATATGATGTCACTCCATTCCTCATGTAGCTTCATGTTATTTATTCTATCATCTTCATGCACTTTCAGAATTTCTATGTTCTTGTAAACTTTTTATTTGATTATTTTCTGTCTATAAATTTAACACTATCTTTTATAATTTCCACAATCTTTGTTAATATTCAATGTTTTTCCACTGATAATGAGATTATATATATATATATATATATATATGCCATCAAATATTCTTTAATTCTTGTCTTCCCAATATATATGTTTTTATGTGATTAAATGTGACCAATGAATAAACTACATTATCTTTCTCTAAATCATTAACAGTAAATTAAAAAACATAATGATTTTTTCTATGGTTCTTGTATGGTTTGGTACTAAAATAATATCTAAATTTTTTAATGTTTTTTTTTTATTTTTCAAAAACATATTCCATTTTAAGATACAATGTTTTAACTTCTGCTGGTTGTCTATTTAATATTACATTTTTTATTTTACTTGTTTCTAACCATTTTAGCAATAAGGTTCTAAGATAATTATTTCAACTAAACATTCTTATTATATTTTCTATTTCCATTTCTTGATCATTTTGCGTGGTCATTCTCTCATTTATTTTGTTAATATACATCTGAAAATATTCTTTTATATATATATAAAGGTATACTAGATTTGAAGTGTGTAACTTTACCTATAACACATTAACGTATTTTTTAAATAATAATTTACTATTTAATCTTACTATAGTAATTTCTAATAATTCAGACTATTATCTACTTTTTCACATTTAAATTGAATATTTTTTATTGATTAATTTAATTTCCTTCACGAAAGCCTCAATATCCAGTATTCTTTCATCATAAATGATGAAATAGTCATCTACATATCTTTGATAACTTATTATACCTTGAGTTTTATTAATCCCTTTAATATTTATGAACATGCACAACTCTGCCAATCTAGGTCTATTGGTATACCTTCCGATTGTCAATAATATTTGCCTTGAAATTAAAAAAAAAATTGAAATTGTTATTTAATTAACACTAACTCAACCAGTTGTTTAACCCAATCTGGGCACATAATGTAGGACAGTGAATTTAAAATTACCATATTTACTTGCATATAAGATGAGGTTTTTATTCATTTTTCACTGCTTCAAAAACCTAGGTCATCCTATATGTGCGAGCGAAGGATTTTTTTTTTTTTTGCAATAATTTTTGTGAACTCTGTATTCACATTTTTTACCGGATTTTCACCTTCTGGCATTCAAAAACAAAAGTATTTTATCTGGGTCGTTTGAATTGTTCTTGTGCATTGTCAGGAGTAAGATGAATAGCAATAGGAAAAAAGCAAAGCTTTTGAATTAAATTCAAAATTACATGGGAGCCTCATATTCATCCCATGTGAAAACAGATGATTATTTGGAAATCAGAATTTGGAGAAACTCATAAGTGTAATTGATGAAGAGTAAATTCCAATTAAGAATTGGCAAAAAATGTTCCGAATTGTCCCGCTTTACATGAACAAATGACGATGTTGATTTTACAAGATTCTTCCTTGAAGTTTAAAATGGCAGTAATTTTTGTGGGACATTGTGTGCATTTGATATTTTATTTCTGATCAAACAAAATAAAATTAGAATTGTATTAATAAATCTAATTTTTTTTATTTTGATCTTTAAAGTCACACCTTGTCTTATATGCGAGTAAATATGATAATTCTAAATTTACTGAGGGATACATATTGTTAATATTGAGTGAAGCTATTCTATAGTTTTCCTTCATAACTATAACTTTCATATTTTTTAAGAATTGGTTAATGTTTGTAATACTACACTCAGATACAGGTAATTTATTTAACTCTTTCTTTAAAGCTATTTCAAGATTATACAGTAAATACTTCCGAATATCTATCAAAGGACAATATGCAAATATTTGTTTGTGTTTTTACTCATAAATATTATTTTCAGAATTCTTTTCCCAAAACATTTAATATCTTTAGCAGTGTTATTATCTATGTAATTTTGTTTTGAAAAATTATTTATAAGCATTATAACTTGTTTTTCTACACAATCCACTGGATTATCTTTAAATAATATATAATTTCCTTTTTTTAAGATCTCTAATATAATGTTGTTATAATTATTTTTAGTCAAGACTATTGTTTTGCTATATCAGCTTTTGTTAATATTAAATTATTATTTTCTAAAAACTCTCTTACTCTATTTTTAAATTGTATAATTCTATTTTTCTCTTTTTTCTTTAATCTATAATTTTTCAGAACAGTTTGGATATTACTTCTAATTCATTGAACTTTTTGATGCTCATGATTTATTAATCCTACTTTTAAATCTACTACCATTTTTCTTATATTTAAAGGAGATGGTCCATTAAAATCTATTCCTAAAATCACAGTATCTGTTATATCAGGTGGGATCTCTATATCACTATAATTAAGTAATTATTTTCAAATAAATTACAGTGGAAAAACAAATTAAGTGTAACTTAACTTACTTTCTAGTTTTTTAATTTTTCTATTTAAATATTCTTTACAATTCTTATCCAATTTGCCCCCTAATTTTTTAATTTTATATTTTTAAAATTTAATCAAGGATTTCAATATAATCTTTTCTATAATATTAACGTCATGTCTTTGCAAACCTCTCGTAGTATTAGTAATTGTATCCAATGTATGTACTTAATGGTATATTTTGATCTCTATTTATTCCAGTCAGCCCCTGATGTGATAAGCCTTCCAATTAGGCTAACTAATTCAATCTAAATTAAAAGATAAAGGTCTAAATTCTGTTTCTCTATATTTTGATAAATTAGGACAAGGGGATTCCATGACCATTTGTCTCCTTTTTACCCTTTTTATATCAAAATTTAAATGTTTGTGATTTCTGACTATCCAGATTTTAGTGTGCTAATTTAGGTATTAACATAGTCATCAACATTACTACCTGATGAAGTTCAAATGTTTTAAAGGTAGTTCAGGAAAAGTTGGTAGAATAAACTAATGTCTTTAGTTTTCAGACAGCAATACAAATATTACATACAAATAAATGAACAAAATATTCACAATAAATCAGAAAACTGATAAGTGAGTCCATTGTCATAACAGAAAGGCTACAAAGGCTTTATCAAAGAATATTTGGTACAAAGAGTTTTTTTTATTGTGCTTGATGGAATTTGTATGATTTGTCTTGGCAAAAATCCAGGAATTGTGTAGGAGATAAATTTTCAGCATAGCATCATAGATGGTGAATATATTTTAACAAGCTCTGTGGAGAATTTGCAAAAGTCTTTCTAATTGTATTAAGTGCAAGTAAGTGAAAGAATTAATTTGGAAATAGTCATCCAGAAAATATAATGGGAACATGTATTGGGTTCTGAGAGTGATGGACTAATATATTTACCCAGATATTACTAAAAATGTAAAGATTGTATGTGTAGTCCCTAATCACAAATAGTAAAGACAATTCCATTCACACTTGCAGCATACCATTGTGGGACTAGTTCAACCTTCAGAGGAAAGGAGCACTTCTTCAAGAAATGCATAAAGATGCCATTCAAACTACTTTACATACAAACAAAAATAAAACATTAGCTGAATCTTTCACTAGAGAAATACTTAATAGAAGTTAAATATTTAATAATGCTGGAGATGATTAAGAATTAACATTTTCCTATCCATAGATATGAGTAAAGACGAGAAAAAAATAAAATATAGTGAATTACTTCAGTAAACTTTTTTTAGTTAGAAGTAAATCTACATTCAAATTTTATTTAAAATACAAGACACTTTTAAATATTATACATATAGTTGCTTTGTTTTCTCAAACTTTGAAGGTTACATACATTATACACATGTCAATATTATATGTCAACGATGCCCAAACTGTGGTTTGCGAGCCACATGTGGCTCAACTAATAAATAAATATTTGTTATTTTTTAAACTTTATCACTGCAAGATAAGGACAAGAATATTTCAGAATTAAGTCAAAGAATTTTCAGTTTTAAAAGAAAAATACAACTTTTCCAAAAGGATATAATAGAAAAAACATTCAATCACTTCTCTCTCTTAAAAAAAGTTTTTCAGAATCTGATATTCCTCCTGCAACCATCATTTACTATCAAACAAAATTAAAAAACCTGTTGAATGATTTGCAGATTTAGTAGCATTAAAACCATCAATTGCATTTTTATTAAATTCGTTTGAAATCATTGTGATTAACAATTAATATAGTATGGTTGCTGTTTATTCAATTTCTATGTATAACGTCCTCTTAATCCAAAGAATTTTTCTTGGTAGATGATCTTACAGCATTTTGGTTAGAAATTACGATTTTACATAATTTTACAGATTTGATTAGAAATTATGTAAAATTGTAATTTCTAACCAAAATGCTGTAAGATCATCTACCAAGAAAAATTCTTTGGGTTTAAATATACATAGAAAATGGTTAACAATGTTTTTATATTATTAAAATGATTACTTTCTGAAACAGTATCAGGAAAATTAGAATTAATTGAGATGCAACATCAAGGTCTCCAAATGTTACATAAATCGGCAAAATCAATCAATGAATTTTGGAAATGTTTACCAATAATTAAGTACAATTTAAAGAATGCAGCATATCGTTTACTGTTAATTTTTGCTTCAACATATGATGTTGAGTCATTGTACTCAATGATGAAATTGAAGTTTTATTCACAGTTAACCAACCAACATCTAAAAGAAGTAATAGGAAGTTCAATTTCTAATTACAATCAGGTTGATAATGTTGAAATTAATTTTTGATAAATTCATAACCTTCAACTAGGAAAGAGTAAATATGTAAAAATTGTCAAAATAAATACATTATGATTCTGAAATTTTTTATTTTTATACCAAGAACTTTAGGTGTGGCTCCCAATATTTTCAAGGTAGGTAACTAGGGCTCTTACAGCTAAAAGTCTGGGCACCCCTGTTATATGTAATTCATAATACTATGAAGAGAAAATAGTCTTTTCGTAGTGTGTTTGTTTAGTTGATTATACATTATATATAATCTTTGGATGTTTTAAGTAAAAGAAAATTGTTGCATAGTTTGACAATTGCAAGATTGTATCATCCAGGGTCTGTCTTACTGAAGAATAGAAATGAGAGAAACTGTTCTGGAGACATTAGGTTGCAATGTATTGAGAACAAAAATTTTCCATTGTCAGTAAAAAATTTCTGGATTCTCCATTTTGATTCAGTCCAACTTAACTGCAGATCCTCCAGTGGTAGGCTAAAGCCGGCTAGAGTTGGCTGTCATTCTTACTTTCCTGAAATATTCTTCTTGTGGCACTTCTATTATTTTGTATTTGATTTGAAATAATATTTGTGCAACAAAATAATTTCATACAACTACAATTGTATTCCAATAATTACAAATAACATTTTGTACTTTATATTCTGGTGGTATCTGTACGCAGTTGGGATAATCTACTGGAGTCAACTTGTTCAGACCGAGTTGGTTGTGCCCGTTCCAACCCCAAGTCCACAACTGTCCGTCTTCTAAAATACAAAAATTATTAATCAATCAGATTCACACAATTTCAATGTTAAATAAAAAGCTATTAATATCTTACTAAATCAAGAACTATTATTACAAATAGTTAATTTCATTACATAATAGAATGATTCTTAAGAATATCTCATTTATATATGTTTGAATCTTTTCTATATATATACTTATTGTTAAACTCCAAATTATACTATAGAGATACAATATTGAGAGTTGTTAACTAATAATTTTTCATTACCACTTCAGTTTAATATTGTATCAATATATAACAATTCAAATTTATTAATTACTTAAAAAGTCAAATTATTCATAATATTCTTAATTCCCAAACATAAATTTAATTAATTTGAGGAAGAGAAGTGCACATTTTTAATAGAAAATAAATAGGCAAATTGTATATGATTTACAATTATTTGAAAAAAAAACTTCAATTCACTCATTGAGACACATAATAAGTGGCATGTCATTGTTGAGCCATGAAAATAAATTTTATGGAACTAAAAAAAATCCTGAGCAACTTGCCATTTAAACTGAATATTCTTGAAAACATCATTGGGCAAAAGGAGAAAATGCATTTCTCAAATGGTTAATACTAAGACTTATGCAAATTCTTGAGGACCATGTTATATAACCTTTCCCTTGTAAGATTATATACAGGGTATTTTTCTACCTTAACCAGATTTCAAAATGCTGTATCATCCGGACGAAATACACTATACTGTGACAAAAATCAGAAAAGTCAGAATTACTTTAAAAATACATATATTTTTATTTAAACTATAATCACCAAATACTGTAGTTGTACAGTTACCAACTTATTATTTGAGTTTCAATTTATTAAATTGCAGCCAATTACACGATGAAGATAACCTTTGACAATTTAAGAATTAATATACATTAAATGATTTCAAATATAATATATATAAAGTCACCTTATAATTTGTTTTCCTGTAATTAAACTATGGTATAAAAATAATATATAGTTGATTTATTTGGATGATGACATAGATGTGGGCACATTCCTTCTATAGGGAGATGAGTATACTGGAACGTGCAGTGTAAATGATTTTATGGGCATCATGATCTCAATGCTGTTGTAATTTGTGTTATAGCAATTCCTCCATTGTGCTTTTGCATAACCTGTATACCTGTATATCTACCCCCTACAAAACAAATGAAACATACCCACATCTTTTCACCATCTAAAATTTCATATATCAAACTGTATAAGCTTTTTAGAATGATATAATTTAAATGCATTCAAAGGGACGAAATGAAAATGCTTTATCATTTTCTTACATTAATATCACTAATACATAAGAGTTTAAAAGATTAACAGACAAAAAAGTTAGATACATCTTAATAGGAGTATCATAATTATTTATTTTTATAATAAAAATAAATGAAGACTTAAAACTGACAAACATCAAATCAGAAACTTATTTGCTTCATAAATTTTAAATACAAAGTATCAATAAAGTTGGTTATTATGTACTAACACAAACAGATGACAGTTCAAGGTTACTAAAGATTTCTTATAAAATCTATAATCTATTTTTAGGATAAAGAAATCAATAAGTGTTGTGATGTATAGAAAAACTGTAACTTTCAATGCTTAAATTTTTAAAATATTTTCTTTTCGAATTTTAGTAAAATTATTATTATTCTTTTAAAACAGATATAAACCACAACTAATATTCACTTAGTATATACTTAAACAAAATAATTTGCATTGTTTTTGAGAGTTCAAAAGCTGTTAAAAATACTTTTGCAAAAAATATATCTAAAATAATTGTCAATAAAAATTTAACAATTTCAGTAGTCAATTTTTTTTTCAAATTCATTCTTTAGTCATCAAACAAGAATAAGGAATAATCTAAGATAAATCTTGATTAAAAAAAATCTGTTAGCATGGATAGAAATTACAAGCATTTTATTTTCTATTAATTATAATTATTCAAATAATATTTTAGATTTATAAGTAATTGTCTGTTTTTGAAATTAAATCATCATTTTATTGACTACATATCTGCTGTTGAAAATCATATTCACTTATGATAACTTTAAATTTAAACAAGTAAAAATTGTAGCCTGGCATTGTGACAATGTCACAATAAATATTTGATCATATTTTTAATTTAAAATATATGCTCTCCACCTCAAATTAGTACTGTAGTGTCTTGTCCTCGGACATCATACTTTTCTATTAGATGACTGGCACAACTCCATTGTTATCTAACTCCTTTCAGGGGAAAATATGTGACTTTTGGTTTACATCATAAGTTCATATATAGTTAATCATGCCTTCTGCTTTTAAGCTTTCCATACATAGATGAAAGCCGTATAACTGTCCTGGAGATTAAGGAAAGACAGACGACAGTGGGAATTTGTAGCCCAATAACTTTAATTACTCTTATAATTTCTGGATATAATCTAATAAGTAAAAACTATTCTAAAATACTATTTGTGAATTTTTTGATCTTGCAAAGAACTAAACTTTTTATTAGAATATACAAAGCCTGGCAATTTTACAATGTCTCATTACACTAAGATTTATGTAATGAAAATTTTTTGTTTTTTTATCTCTGGGATCTAATTTATGTTCAATCATTAGTCTCAAATTAGGTCTAAGAATACAATTATAAAACAATCATCTGAAGATGGACAGCAGACAGAAAAATTACTATAATTTCTCAAGCTGAAATACAAAACTTCAGCTTGAGGTAAAAACTTAAGTCTTCCATTTTGTATAAATTTTTTAATCAGAATGAAATGCAGTTTGGAGGATTTCTTGAAGGAAAATAATAAATTCCAAAAACCACCATGACATACAAACGATAAACACATTGAAAGTCATTTTCATTATTGACAATTGTTTGACATGGCCTCCACTGCATGGTATAACATAATTTAGCTGAGTAACAACACCTGCACCAATGGATATTACTTCACAGCAAATAGCATTTTTCAATTCAACAATGTAGAAGAACCTGATTGCAACACTCAGAAATTTAAACACCATCAGAAATAACACTGAAAATCATTTTAATTGTTATTTGTATATCAACATCACCTACCGGTCGTTATTGTAACTAACTTTATCCTATTGCCAAAAACCCCCTCATGCCAACCATATTTATAAAACATGAAGAATTATCAGAACAAAATGTTCACAGTTTTTAAGGACTTCTTGCCCACCCTGTATTTTTGAAAGCAATGAAATGATATATCCAAAATTTGAAAAAACATTCAAAAGAAACAATATCTGTGTTACAGTACTGGATTAAACAGACTAAAATCTATACTATTTTTGCTTTTAAAGAAAAATTTAATAAACAACAAAATAAGTTAAGTGATAGTCATGATTAATAAAAAATATTTTAGTAATTATAAGTTTTAAGATTAAAAAATAAAACAAGAAATCTTTGAAATGAACATCATTATTAATAATTGATGTAATGTTGATGGAAGTTTGCTTAACAATGGAGCAATTCTGTCGTTAAACATTTTGCAATTTGGCATGAAATTTTAGCTATTTGAAAACAAATTCTTAAGCATTTTAAGCTGTTTCTGTACATTTAAAAAAACTTTAGAAATATAATTTGACTATTTCTGTATAAACTAAAATGTTTTATATCTGTTTCTGTAAAATAACTTATGTGCAAGAGTAGAAGCAAAATTCCTTGCGTCAAAAGCATCATACTCATAGGAGTGATTGTCAATTGTGCATATTTATTCCTAAGATTTACACACACTCATATGACACCGAATACTGTATACAATATGGAGTAAATATACTGTCTCTTCGCATTAAATTTATTTACTTGATAAACTGTAACGTGTAAGTGCTTTCAACATTTCAAAATGTCATCCTCAGGCAAGCAAAGAATATACAAAATTCAAATAATGATTTTTAAAAATTCTTTACATTAACCAAACTTAAGAACTTATTATGCATTTAGGTTTGAAACAAGTTCTAGAATTCGAACATGTGTGACAAACTTTTGATTTAAATTTAAAACAAATATACAAAATGTGGTTAATGTCCTTCATATGTTGTCAAATAAGATAAAGTATAAAAATTTATAATTAAATTAAAAAACAGTAAAGAGTTATAAGTAAAATATAAAAGTTAAGCTTTTGTAAAGTGTTATCCTTATATTGGAGTTTGAAATTGTTAAAACCCTGCAATTTTCCAAAGACATATATAATGATTCCCAGAGGAACAGGGTTCTGCAGTCTAAACATCACTTAAAAATGAAAGTTTGGATCCATGATGTAAAATTATTTTCTAATACATTTTTTGCAAGGTTAGTAGAATGTGTGTTATTTTTTTTATGACATCCTGGTGTACATTTAGGGTGCTAATTTTACTGTCAGCATGCTCAGCCTGTATACTTTTGTCCGTCTCTCATTCACATTAGAGCTATGTGATGTCATGTTTAGAGAAATTGGTAAGCTCAAAGTGCTAGCTAGTTCCTTGTCGAGCTTTGCGCTAATTCAATATGGCTGCTCCCATGAAAAAATTACTTTCTGTACAAAGTAATGAAAATGGAATTATTTTTGAAAAAATAAACAGCAGGAAGTATTTTTATTGGTAAATTTCAATTATTTGTTGTATAAAATTATTACTATGATCTTTTTTATTGTAAGGTTCAATAGTTTTAGATGACTTTTTTCATAAACAGATGTAAAAAAAATTAAGTTTGACTCACTGTTTATGATTAAAAGTGAAGTTTACCTCGTACACATTTGGAATCTTCAGAAATGCTATGTTCAGAGCATTAAATAAATCATACAGAAATGAACAGTATTAATAATAATCCAAAACTATATAAGTTCGTATACTTGAATGAATTTTTACTTACATATGGAAAATGACTTCTCAAGAAATTGTATTATTTGAATACCATTTTTTTCATTACAAACTAAACTTATTGATGACAGAGTAATATTTATTTCTATTGAAATAAGCTGCTGCTTCTTCAGTTGATGTCTTAATAGCGATATGTTTTTCATCAATAGAGCCTCCAATTCCAGGAAAACCAGATTGGGTATAAAAAATTCCATTATTCTTACATCATCCTGCTCTGTGATAGCCAAGAATTATTTTTTCATTTTCATTTAACACTAAGAGAGAATTTTAACAACCTTATTTAAAATATTCTATGCAGTCTGTCTAGACCTATTAAAACAATCACCAATACCCTTAGAGAAAAGAAAGGAAAGAAAAATGTTTTGTATTTAATATCAATTATTTGTTGATTTTAAACTGAGTTAGTTACACCGTAAAAGAGCAACATCACATCCATTCACTGGGTAATAAAACAATTGCATTAAATATGTATTATATACTGTATATGTATAATCTGCTATGTATATACTGCATCTAATTTCATATATTGCTTCTTATAAACCAACTTGAATGATTCTTTATTTTCCAATGTCCATAGCATAAAAGCTGCTTTTGAGGAGACACGTGTTGTCTAAAATTGGGCTTATTTTTTAAAGGAGACTTTCAAAAGATTCTCTTGTAAGTCTAAGGTACTGTTTAAAATTGGTTGGATTATAAAAAGGTACAGTCTCTTCAATAAAAGTTTCTATCTTTTTTTTATTTGACCTTACTTTTCTTTTTTCTACAATTATATCCACAATAAGATCATCTTCATCCGATTCGGAATCAAGTAGTACTATCTGTAACGTAACATTTAAAATAGCAGCTTTGACAATATTATTTGCAGGAAACCGCCATATTTCTTGTTAGCGTTCGCGTTTACTTTCAAACTGGACTTGTAAACACAAATACACATGCTAATGACGTCACTTCCGGTGTTCAGAAGTAGCACTATTAGCTCAGAAGTAAATGCACCCTTAAATGGCTTAGTAACTTTCTAGTTGTGGCACCCATGTAAAAGACCTTTATTCCTGTTTGTACTTGTAATGGGATTATTTAAACTCCAGAATTCTCTGTAGTAATGGCTGAGGTTTGATGGAAAGTGTGATCCCATGTTTTTTGTAAGCTTGAACTTTGTTAAGCATGGAACAGAAAGTTGTGGAAATATTGGCTTTTTGTTTTTGTTGGCAGTGAGTGGGAAGAGAACTGTGTGGGACAGGTTGTTGATATATTTAAATTTGGAGTGTGTATGCCCACCATTGCCTACAGCAGTAGCTACTAATTTCAGTTCTTGTATCAAACTTGGAGATGAGTAGTATAACTATCCTTGTGAATAACGATGGAAACAACATTTACATATCCAGGTGGCTGGAAGGAAAAAGGTGGTATGATATATGGGGATAAACTGAACTTGTGTGTTACAGTGTAAGATAGATGAGTGGTAATACTATGTTGGCTAGATTTAAAAATGTATTTTTTCTGTTTTGCTCTTAATAAAGAATGAGACTGAAAGGTAAACATCAGACAGGAATTTAACAAAAGTTAACAGTTTTTTAAAAGTAACCTTGCTGAAATATCAAAAGTACTTGCATGTATTCAATTTATCAAGTAAGTAAATTTAACCCTGAAAGATCATATATTTCCTCCACATAAATACACAAACTGAAGATTATTACTAATTATACTGTGTAAAGTATGCAGATGTGTGTAATTTTCATACTACATAGGAATAAAATCATGATAACAGAGAAATGAAATTGTTATTGCGATCTTAAACTTGTTGAAAGAAATTAAATTTTAATTAAGAGTAACATTTTAACATAGATATTTCTGGAATATAATTCTAGAATTATTTTTGATATTTGAAACACTTTGAAAGCAGATTAAAATTTGAAGGCTTTGACACTTGATTTTATAACTCTGATCAAGAATTCAAAAATAAAATATTGAACATGATAAAAATCAAAAATATGTGTCAAAATTAAATTTAAAATCAGCCTACACATGTTTTTAATTAAATCAAATATATAAATTTGATGATTTAAACTTATATAAACTTTAATTTGCTTCGTAAATATTTTTAAAACTATGATTACATTTATAAGAGTTACCTGATATAGCTGCTGTATGTCTAGATCCACAAGAAACTGTTTTTATAATGGCATCATGCGGGAAGTCGAGCAGCTGAGGAATTGCTTGAAATGTCACTACTTCAGATAATTTTTTATTCGAAATACTTGCTGGAAGGCCTAACTGACCACTTTCATTCCACCCCCAAACGTATATATCTCCTATAGCTGAAATTTACAAATCATGCTTATATTATCTGCAAATTACTTATTAACTAATTGTTTTTAATTAAAATAGAATTACACAAGTAAAAATAAATAGATTATATAAAAGTAATCACCAGAGGATGCTTCTGTGCTTCCAGATGGCATATATGTATGTACTGTATGGGGACTGTCAGGAGAACATGTAATTTACATTGTAAATTGTTGTAATATGTAATCATCAAGCTATACCATACATAATTATTAATTATTTAATGAATGCGTAACTTAATATTTAACTATTTTATTACAGTACAACACAAATTAATATTGGGCATTGTGAATTCATTCTGCATATGAACAACAATAACAGCTATTACTATGGAAAGTAAACATAATGCATTTTACTGCACATATAATGATGTATGTACTACTGTATAAGGTACTAGATTACATGTTTTCCCTGACAGTACCATGTATGATACATATGTGCACTTCAACTTGATTGTCTGTAACAAAAACTGTGAAAGTGGTGGTGATCCAATCCTTTTTTATTGCTTTTAGGCGTTCTTTTAATCGATAGATAAATAAACAAGTGTATTCTAACATATGTATTCTAACTGTTGACCAATTCTGCTGTCTGATACAAGAATAGAGTAAACATTACTTAACATTTAGTTATTAAATAGTGTGTATTAATATAGTATGATAAAATCCAATAATCATTTGGCTTTATGAAGTAAATCCCCAAAAATGAAGTTTATCACGAAGGTCCTTAATATTTCTTAACATGAATTTAAATCCATGGAATCTAAGTAGCAATTTATGCTAGTATGTTCTTAAATTTATTTTTAAAAAAGATACCAAATATGCCTGGCAAAATCAGGTAGATTTTACTTTCCTGAGTATTATAACATGGGAAAGTATTGTAATCATGTCAAACTTGACCATCTGTGTTTTTTTTACAAATCCTGACCACTTGATACCCCTGAACCTAAAATAATCAGAAAAATAGGAAAAAATATTTTGTGGGGTGTGTTGCATCTATTTCATTTAATATCTCAGGATGGGTAAAGATTAAGAAATGAAATTTGAAATGATCTTATATACAAGTTATCATTTCAAATTTCATTTGATGCTTTGAACATTGATACTGCTATTTTGGAATTTGGAATTCAAAAAGATAGGGAGATAGAGGTGCCATGTAGCATATCTGAAGTGGGATTGATTGTGAGAACTATGAATTGCAAGGATCCTCTTTGTAGACAATCCCATTTGCCATCCTAAAATTAACCTTACTAATGTATATCTGGCATATTTCTCCCAACACTATGCCAATCACACCCAATGTCTGCACAATATTTTTACTGGAAGTTCATTCTAGAATTTCTCATTACAAAAATAATTGATTTTGCAGGAGTTTCATTAAAGCTGGGTTTCCAGCAGAAGATATTTCTAAAGGAATAGTTAGTGTAATGGGTAAGTATACAAATTTCTGAACTCTGCCAAAAAAAGAACTCTCTATTGAAATGGACTTGCCCCTGTGCATCATACTTTTCCATTAGCAATGGAGTGGTGCTGGTCATATATCTAACTCCTTTCAGGGAAAAATTTTTTTATTTGAAACAACGTGACTTCTGGTTTGCATTGGAAGTTCTTATATAGTTAATCCTCCTGTCCGTAAGCCTTCCATATCTGGTCTCAGATTTCATCAGTCTAACTCAGTTCTCAAGATTAAGGAAAGAGACAGACAGACAGACGAATGACAGTGGAAATTTATAGATCTACAATTTTTTCAAATTGCAGCTAAAAAGAAATATATATATTTTTTTTAATTGAAGTTTTTAGACTATTTACAAGAAATTAAATTTTTTGAGTCTATCTTTTAAATCCCTTATACACCACCACAGAAGTAACAGTTTTAAAAAATTGCTTTTGAAGAAAACTTCTAATGAAGAAAACACTTCTAAAACAGGTAAAAGTTAGTAGAAAAAGTCCGCAAAGTTAAAAAAGATCAAGTGCCAGCCTTTTCTTTTAGGTTCTGACACTTTTTACATTAAAACCATGATGAATTCTTCATACCATCTTATTTTATCCACTTTTAAACTGCTTCTGGCCCTCTAGTGGTAGTCACGAGAAGTCCACATTATTTGCATACAGTTACAACTTTTGTGATAACTCAGGGTATATTTTTTCTTCTTAATTGAAGTTTTTAAAACTGTTTTTTCTAAAAATTTTTTTAGAACAGTTTTAAAAAATTTTCAGTTTTAAACAGTTTTAAAAAATTCTAAAAAATTTTTTAAAACTGTTACTTCTGTGGTGGTGTATAAGGGATTTAAAAGATAGACTCAAAAAATTTAATTTTTTGTAAATAGTCTAAAAACTTCAATTAAGAAGAAAAAATATATCCTGAGTTATCACAAAAATTGTAACTGAAATATATTTTATTGATTTCAATTATATTTGTGATTCATATTATGCTATCTATTACACTTATTTATCTAATATCTAATAAAAAATCATTTAAAATGACTATTAAATTATAAATTTCAAATGTTATTTGAATTATGATATTAAAGTTAAATAATGTATTAAACTTACTACTAAGAGCAACTGAGTGCCATCCTCCAGTAGCTATCATCTTGATTGGAATTCCTTCTAATGCTTCTACTACTCTTGGAGTTTCTTCATTTTCTGTTGTTCCATGCCCCAATTGTCCTCGACTATTGAAACAAAAATTCATCTATTGACATTGAAAATGAATTAAATAAATAGTAGAAAAAAACTTATACAAATGTAAGAAACACTAATGTATTATTCATTAAAACTGAGTAATAATTACAAATTTTATACCATAAATATCAAAATTGGTTTCAGTCTAAATCATTAACATTAATTTGAATTTATTAATTTCAAATTACACAGGATAGTTCTTTGTTTTCTTATAATATGTATTATAAGAAAACAAAGAATGTAATTATTTTCCTTAATTGTTTTGTAGTTATTAGGAAATTATTAAGATAATTTCTATAAACTTCTTACATACTAATTATCCTCATAACTTAATTTTATAAATTTAGTTTTCCTAACTAAAGTCAAGTAGAAAAGTCAATTTCTTACCTTCAATTGTCTAATATTTAAGGCATAAATAAAACCTAATATATTAAATATTTTTGAAACTAGTTACTTATATTGATTAGTACAGGAAATTATCATTAGTCCATAATTACTTTTAAGCAGTTTCTAGACCTCAATGCTACCTATCAATATACCATATGTTAGACATAAAAAACTGGCACACAAACTGGAAATATATACTAAAACCACCACTTCACACCTAAATGATAATTCCAGCAAATGAACAACAAAAAAATTTTAACGTTCAAATGTTTTTGGCCGTCTTTCAAGGCCCTCATCAGGAAAAATTGCAGAGAATAGAAAAACAGTTCTATCTTTTTAACAGTTTTCAAATATAGCTGTGTTCTAATTTTTAAGATTTAAATGATGTTGAAATACAAAGAATCGTTACGTATTACAACATATAATTAAAATATTTACAAATAAAGTTATAAATAAATACAATAATAATATATATGGTGTTAATATATAAAAAAATATATATGGTGGTAATAATATACAGTATTCAATGTTAAAAGTTACCCTGATGTGCGATAGGGAAAAATTGTTTCCTTTACATTGCCTAAAGCTAACTTCATACTAAAAAATCATAGTTATGCTTTGTGGCTTTGTAAATAATACTTCCACGATTGTGGAACTGGAATATAGTTGGAGTTAATGCAACCTCCCTTCAAGCCTGCTATATAAATTTCAATAGCCTCCAACAAACGTAAGTCGTGTCGGTCAAACACCCTGTGCAAAAGCGTAGCTTCATCCCAACAAGGAGAAACTCCGGGTTCGGTAGCATACTGGGCTAGTGCAGTATTATACTTCCCCTTGGACACATCATACTTGTGGTCTCGTATTCTAGCCTCTAGAGATCTGTACGTGGACTCAATGTATGTTATGTTATACACCTATTGAAACGATTGTCCTGTAATGGAATGCAGTACACTCCTGGCACTTTCTTGTCCTCTGACTTGTCTTTTGCATTAGATAAGATAAATAAACAGGCTAACTGCCAACTAGCTATCTACGATAACTACCACCGACACGAGGCTTAATAATGCAGAGTGCAAGCGGGTGGTTATAGCTTACGAACCGTCCCTCCAACAAATTTATAATAAAATTACTAAGGATTTAAACCTGCGCTTAGCTTATAGGAGAAAACAGAACATTTTTTGAATCTTATCTAAATAACATCATACATTCCTTTTCTAAATAACATCATGCATTACCTTTGGTCCTACTCTCAGTAATATGACACCCTTTGTGTAAGAAATGGCTAGATTAGTGAGTCTACTGTTTTTATATATTGTACTGTTATTTTGGAGTAAACAGCAAGCAGTCAATCATAGCAAGATGAACAATATTGGATAAAAATATACCTATTTATAAAAATTTTAATTGTTTAACTATTAAACTTCATGCATTATTTCATTATTTTGAACATTGAAAGCTTAATATTGTACAACTTTCAATAAACAAAATAATATTTCCAAAAAGTGTTAATATTTAGTATCATCAAAACAATCACTTTTGTTATTAGTAAAAATTAATTTTTTAATAAATTAAAAAAATATATTTTACCTTCCTAATCCATAACTATATATTTTTCCATCTACAGTGAGACAGAGAACATGTTCTTTTCCACAACAAACAGAATTTACAACTAGATTAAATGGAAGTTTTTCTATCTTGTTTTTACATATAGAAAATAAAGTTCCATCTATTAAAATTAAAACATTAAAAATATATTATATTGTTTTTTATATATAATCAATGAACTAAATGCTTTATATCATCAATAAACAAAAAAAGTATAAAGTTAATGAAAATGTAAAGTATATAAAATATAAAAATTATTCTGCATTTACATACAATTTAATTAAACACTTTCTTAAGTAATTTTAGAGTCAAACAATTAGTTTGAAAACATTACATAAAATTTGAAAAGTGCAGAATAAGTGTGTGGAAACAAAAATGACTACTGGTATATTATTAAAAACATAACTTTCTTATAGACTTGTAAACACTATGTTGGCCTTCTTTATTGCTAGACTTATTACACCGTCACTGGACATAGTGACAGTGTCTAGCAATAAAGAAGTCCAACATAGTGCTCACAAGTATATAACAAGACTAGGCAAGAAGCATATCATAGTACATAACTTATTTTTAAATATATGTAATCAAATTGTCTTTCCAATTACAACATTATTTCTGAGTTGATATCTATGCATACCTGAAATTTATTTAGGAAATTATCTCTTTGATTAAATAATTGGGCTGCAATTTGAAAAAATTGTGGACCTATAAATTACCACTGTTGTCTGTCTGTTGGTCCTTCCTTAATCTCGAGAATGGAATTAGATGCATGAAAGTAGAGACCAGATACGGAAAGCTTATGGACAAGAAAGCCTGATTAACTAAATACGAACTTCTGGTTTGGACTGGAAGTCATGTTATTTCAATTCAAAAATGTTTACTTGAAACAAGTTAGTTAGATGACCTATTGCTAACAGGGGAAAGTATGATGCACAATGGCAAGACACTACTAAAAAAATTGAAAACAAAACACTGATGAAAAATTTCAGTCCAGCAGTATGACAATGCCACAATAAATATTTGCTCATTTCTCTTTATTTTTATAATTAAACAACAATTAATGGTAATGTATTCTTAATTTACTATTTATTTTCACAGCTATCTTAATATAGAACAAACAGTAATTTATAATGTCTACATTATAAATTACTAAAACTTCATAATAAAAATTCATTAGTTAATGAATTTTTAGAATATATTTTCAATAAGTTTTCAGAGAGTGTGAAAATTTTCTAAATAGTACATAAATGTTAAACAGTAAATAGTATTTTTAAAAACTTTGTAATTAATCAGTTTAAATAATTTAATCATTAAAATTATAAAAAGAAAGCAATATATTTAATAGTAGGGCCAGATTATTTTAATCATTGATTAAAATTTATAATCAATCAATACTAATTAGAAATTTAATATTGAAAGTAAATATGCTAATCTTATTCGATAATATTAATGATTAGAATTAATTAATCAAATTTAAAGAGACCTATGAAAAAAAAAACTCAAATTGGAATTTTATTTACAATTATATTGTCATTTATGCCCTCTAAACATTAGGCATATTCAAAACCTCAGCATGCAGCCAGCACCCAGTGCACGCATAGTGTGTTTGTGAAATATTGGATTACATTTCAGCTTTGGCTACTAAATTTATTTGCTGGCCTATTGGTGAAGAAGCTGAAAGTTCCATTTGAGCATTTGAAGTTATGCGACAAGTGCCCTTTCCTGGTATAATAGGTACCATAGGTGGCACCCATATCAAATTTTTGGCACTAAAGGAAGAGAAAAATGAACATATCACTAGAAAATAAGCCGCTGCTGTTGTGCTTCATACAGTTTGCAGAAGCAATTTGCTTTTTACTGATATATTTGCAGGATAATCTGGATCATCAAATGACTCAAGGTATTCCGAAATAGTCCTCTATTCCAAATTGGGAGGTCCACAGTTTTTTCCAAACAATTGTCATATGTGATTGGGGATTGTGCTATATCAAAATCACTCCTAACACCTTATACTGGCTATTTAACAAGAGAGAAAAACTATAAAGTTTTAAGCTCAAGCAGAGTTGTCGTTGAGCAAGCCTTTGGTAGATTCTGAAAATTGAAATACTTATATATCAGAAAGAGCTTTTGTTCCAAAAGTCATCACTGCCTGTTGTGTACTGCGTAATTTTTATATTATGCATAATGATCACAGTACAGACACTGAAATTGTCAGTGAAGGGAACAATCTAGAACTGGAAGAACTGCAGCAGTTATTCAAATGCTGATGGAGCAGCTAAGAGGTATTTGATAGTAACTCAGCTGTTCTGAGACTATGTGATACCATAGAGTTGTATGTATTGTACAATACACTGTAGGCACTGTACTATAAGAATTTGGTGTTTAAATGTAATATTATGTTTGGAATGTACTACTTATTATAACTATTATAAATTTGTTTGTATGTATAGTATCATCCGTCTCATGTACTGTACATCTACTTTACAGTTAAAAATTTAATAAATGCCCCTGTCTTAAATAAAAAAATGACATAATGCTTTTTATTAAAGTTATCTGAATTTGTTAATTTAAAAATAAATTTTTATATAATATTACCAGTGTTTTATATATATTAAAAAAGCTTTTAGTAAACATATTTATAAAATTCTTGCTGAACAAACAAAAAGCAACTCTTCTTAAAGTAGCGTAAGGTTGGCTAATGAACCTTCAGCATATGATGTTTGGACAAGAGGGAAAAAAGAAAGTCAGACTAGGTAGAATAATATTTGTTTTATTGTATTCTACCTAGTTTGACTCCTTCTCATCACTTTCATCATGTAATAAATGGAAAATTAACCAACCTTAGGCTACTTTAAAAAAAGAAACAAATAACACTTTTATTACAAGATTGGGAAATTTAATTTTCTTTGTTTTTATTTTTAATTAAGTCAGCTATTAGCATTCTGAGCTGCTGCAACTCTTGTAATTTTTTTTCTTCAATTTCTTTCACTTCTTTCCATCGCTGTTCATCCTTTGCATCTCGGACAGTATAAGTCCAGGCTGCACAAATCCGATGTACTAGATGCAGATAAACTTGATGGTAATTGTGGCTATACTTGGAGCAGGGGATTTGGAGCCAGATGGGCAGCAAACAGTACTCAGAGGTACACAGAGGAGAAGGCAATGTAGGTGAGGCAATTGAAGCACTTAGGTAATGAAGTGGAGGATTATTATTGGATTTTCCACCCATATGCTTTGTAAAACTCATCAAAATGTTTCGACCTTATTTTTCCCTCTCCTGACGTTTTCATTCTATCCAAGTTTTGCCTAAATGTGCACATTAAATTTTGCCATTTATGGCTACACTCCTCCCCTGAAAACCTGTACCCTCTGTTTAGTAAGACCTGCAAAATTTGAACCCACAGTTTAATTTTATTAATTGGCTTTTGAAAATCGCTCTTTTTCTACTCTGGTGTTGATTAGGTTCTGTGTAGCACTATCAGACCATTCAATTGAAAAAAAAAGTACAGGTAACCCCCGTATAACACGGCACTTCTATAGCACGGATTCGCTCTAACACGGTTCGAGAATTGGTACCATCCCCCGTATAACACGGCACTTCTATAGCACGGATTCGCTCTAACACGGTTCGAGAATTGGTACCATCCCCCGTATAACACGATACTTTTATAGCACAGATTCACTCTGACACGGTTCGAGAATTGGGTAAAACCCTCGTACAACAGGAAATGTAATAAATTTTTACATACTTAAGTAATAATAGTTCACGAAAATTATTATTTTCGTGAACTATTAGTACTTAAGTATGTAAATTTTCTCTTCTCGCCTTCTGTCGATACACGTGGTCCTTCTCGAAACTTGTTTCAATGTTGCCAGATCGCGACGCTTCTGCTTCTGATGTTGCCGAATGTTTTTCCCTTATTCCATACTTGCTTTATTCTTCATAAGTGCTTAGCACCATATAAGGAAATTTATAAAGACCTTTTAACTAGAAGCAAGCAATCTAAAATTACATACATTTTGCAAAAGGTAAAGCATGGATCTGAAGATAATGCAGAAAAATGCTCAGAGGATAAGGATAACTTGCCAAAAAGAAAACGCTCTCGGTTAATTAATAGTGTTTTTAGTGATGACGAAGAAAACATTGTTTAATTTATATTAATATGTATCACTTAAAAAAATTTTAATGAAGATATTTATCTTAATTATGAAAATATACTAGCATGTTTTTTAATTTTTGGAACCTAACCCTCCTTTTCGTATTAGTTCTTTGTTTCGTATAACACGGATTCGCATAACACGGCAATTTTTTGGAACGTAACCCCCGTGTTATACGGGGGTTACCTGTACTTCAATATTTAATATATTACTTATTATTTAATATTAGTATTTGTTGAATAAAAAACTTTTGAAATTGAATAGTCTGAATGTATTCTGAATTTAACTATACTCTTTTGTTTCTTTTTCTGTTCATTTTTGTTAATCTCAGTCTGATCACATTTTTCTACTTCTTCAAAATTAAATTGGACTCCTGCAAGTTATAATAAATTTCCAAACAAATTAATACAAAAATATAGCACTATAATCCTTAAAAAATATCTTACCAAATTCACCATCCTTTTCTATGACTTGAAATTCTTTTCTTACTGTTTTTGGTGTTGTAAGATTTACATTAGATGGGATACCTAAATGTGAATTCATTTCCCCCATATTGTAAATCATACAAATATTTCTGCACATAGTTTACATCTAAGAAAAAAACGTCAGAAATATTACAGAATTAAGAGGCTATTTAATACATAACAAAATCAAGCCTAAGATTAATGTTAACAACTAAAAAATTATTTGTTTTCTCTGTCATAACTAGCTGCATAGACATACACTGGACATCTTTGACATCACTCTTTATTCAGGAATATCTTGTGGGCCAAAACACTGACAGAAAAAAACAAATAAAAGACACAGTTTCAGAGTAAGCAATAGAAAAATTATGTCTCACATAAAAATATGTTGGTATATTAAAATAATCTATTAATATATTAACCTGATCTTAACTTATTCAGGGTAATAAGTAAACTAAATTCAAAACTGTCAACATAAAATAGAGTTCTTACTAGCCTCATGGTGGTTGCCATCTTGTTTGCTGTCATATCAAGCACAGAAAAAGATGCTTGCAGTTTGCTGGCAGCAACCAGAAGTTGCCTGAGATTTTGAACAGAAGTGCTGAGAGGTGCTGTCTGTGCACTGAGATTTTGAATACATCCACTGTTACACCTTTCTTACATAAATAGTTTCAGTTTGTGGTAATGTTAAGGATTAAAACAGCCATAAATTGGAAATAGAAGATAATGTTAGTGTTACATCTCAAACTGTTCAAATTAGATTGCACAAGTTTAGTTATCATGCTAGAGTTGTGAGGGAAGAAATCACAGGTAAGCAAACAAAACAAGAAAAAATGACTTGAGTGGGCTAAAAAGTGTCTTGGACATGATGGCAAACAAGAGAAAAACAGAAGAAGCACTTAACCAAATGTGTATTAGACCAACTGTGAAACAGTTGTTTAATACATATTTAATTGTCACTGTGTATTAAATCACTGTATATTAAACAGTGGTTTAATACATTTCCATAACATCACCAAATTACTGGGAAATTGGTTTGGTGATGGTATGAAAGTATGATCAACAAAGGAATTGGGAATATGGTATTTATTGATAAAGAACAGTAGGATTAGAACAAACTTTTGTCTTCCAACACAATGATGATCTAAAGCATACAGTTAAGATATTAAAAGAATATTTGAAATCTTGGGACATATATCATTTGGAATGGTCACCAAATCTAAATCCCAACAAACATCTTTAGCAAGAAATACAGAGCAAAGAGGAATCAAAACAGACAATACTGTCGGCACAGAACAAAACCAACCTAAAGTCTGTGAAAAACCAGTCACAACTATGCCTCATCGTTGCAAAGCAGTTATTAAACAGAAAGGAGGCTCTACAAAGTTTGTATAATGCAAAATTATACATTTATACAACAAAGTTTGTCACTATGCCAACAATTTTTTTGCATAACTTTCAACGGTATTTTGTTTAGTGTTTTTTTTTTATGATTGTATTTATTTTAAAATATAAATGAATGTACAGGTAACCCCCGTATAACACGGTAGTTACGTTCCAAAAAATTGCCGTGTTATGCGAATCCGTGTTATATGAAACAAAGAACTAATACGAAAAGGAGGGTTAGGTTCCAAAAATTAAAAAACATGCTAGTATATTTTCATAATTAAGATAAATATCTTCATTAAAATTTTTTTAAGTGATACATATTAATATAAATTAAACAATGTTTTCTTCGTCATCACTAAAAACACTATTAATTAACCGAGAGCGTTTTCTTTTTGGCAAGTTATCCTTATCCTCTGAGCATTTTTCTGCATTATCTTCAGATCCATGCTTTACCTTTTGCAAAATGTATGTAATTTTAGATTGCTTGCTTCTAGTTAAAAGGTCTTTATAAATTTCCTTATATGGTGCTAAGCACTTATGAAGAATAAAGCAAGTATGGAATAAGGGAAAAACATTCGGCAACATCAGAAGCAGAAGCGTCGCGATCTGGCAACATTGAAACAAGTTTCGAGAAGGACCACGTGTATCGACAGAAGGCGAGAAGAGAAAATTTACATACTTAAGTACTAATAGTTCACGAAAATAATAATTTTCGTGAACTATTATTACTTAAGTATGTAAAAATTTATTACATTTCATGTTGTACGAGGGTTTTACCCAATTCTCAAACCGTGTCAGAGTGAATCTGTGCTATAAAAGTATCGTGTTATACAGGGGATGGTATCAATTCTCGAACCGTGTTAGAGCGAATCCGTGCTATAGAAGTGCCGTGTTATACGGGGGATGGTACCAATTCTCGAACCGTGTTAGAGCGAATCCGTGCTATAGAAGTGCCGTGTTATACGGGGGTTACCTGTATAAAAACACAGAATACCATTTGCACTATATAATGCATAAGTTGTAGAAAGTCTCAAACTATACTTTTTTGTCTATTAAAAGTGAGAAATTTGTGCCGTGCCAATCATTTCTTGTGTCGACCATATACATATATTATATATACATAAGTCAATCGAGCAATTATAATGTATATATACATATGTGTTAGTAGTTATATATGTTATAATTATACATTATAACTGCACGGTGACTTTAATTAAACTAGCATTTTATTTACTGTACAACAAAGAATGTTTACCATTAGTAAGAGCTAAAGAATGCATGTCTCCAATAGCTACTTCTGTTACAAACACCGATTCCGTTGGTTCGTTCAATACATTTGGCGGCGACGAAAAATCATCTTCGTCCCAACACATTAATTTTCCATCCACACTAATTAAAAATGTGGATTTCCATTGACAGACCACGTTTTTAACTTCGTGTTCCAACGAACACAGAACGGGATCCGTTTTTTCTGAACTCAATCCGAAATGAATTAAACTTCCATCTTCTAAAATATACGAAAAATTGTATTATTTAAATTGTATTTTAATAATAATATTGTTACGAAGGAAATTACCCGTCAAATAAAATATTGACGACCATCCCGTAAACATTTTTTTAACCACGTGCTCCTTGTTTCTAAATTGGATGGTGTTAAATACGTCGGATTTTTTCTTGCCTAAATGATTAAACGCGTCGAAACCAAAGTAAATGAAACCCAACATCTTGTCACTTTCATCACATGCTTGAATCGTTAAAGTCGAAACAGTGTTGCCAGACAAGTATATGAACACAATTTTTTTAAAATATTTCGTTGTTTTACATGATATTAACACGAAATTTTCATATATAATTTTTAAAATAAAATGTCTAAAAAATTTAATAGTGAGAAACTTAATTCTTTTTTAGTTTAGATTGTGCTGGGCGATTACCTAAAAAATGAAAATCGATTAGGATATGATAATCGATTATCAATCGATTACCACACCTTTAATAACAACAGTGTTTATTAAGTTAGTAAAACACTATTATTTTTAATTAATAATACAGTACTTGTTAACGAAAAGACCACTCACAGATTTCACATTTTTATAGAACATTCATTAATTTGTTATTGCAAATTTACACAATATTACAAAACAAACTATAATGAAAAAGAAAGTATATCATTAAACTCAAAGCTATTCATAATAGCAAGTTTCTCAAATCTTTTTGGATGCAATGCACATCGTTTCTTTGTAATAATATTTCTAACTTTTGAAAAAAGACGTTCTGCAGGTACTGAGGTTGCTGGAATACCTAAATATGTAACAGCCAGTTTCGCAAGGTAATAATTGAAATGGGCAAACGTTGACTGCCATGTAGCAAGAGGATCAACATTGTGTGGTATAGTTGCAGCTTCTAAGTAAGTTTTAAATGTAGTACAAAAACCTTCTTTAGACTTTATGGGATCTCTGATTTCCCTATGTGACCATAGACTATTCTCATCTGTGCTTTTAATGGTTTCACTTACTTTTCCACACACAGTCTACTTCATATTTAATCTGCCGGGATAGATACTTATTGATGAAAGAAATTGCATTTGCAGCACATTTTGCTTTTGAGACCTGAATTCTTAAATCTGGGATCTAACACTGTAGAAACACTGTATAACATATTCTTTTCTATGCCACAAAATCGTTTGTCGATATTATTGAAACAGACCTTATTTAGATTTTTTCCAATTCTTGTGATGGGTTTGTTGCCTCCAGAACTTTTGCAATGAGGCCAACAGCAGGAATAACTTTACTAACTGTTGTATACTTCTCACCCATCAGTTCAACGGTTGCCAAGTAATATGGCTTTAAAACTTTGAAGAATTTTTCCAAGATTTCTATCTTACTTTTAAGAAGCATATCGGGAGCATCTTTTGGTTTCTGTAGCACAATGGCAACTGCATTTTTAATTTTCAAAAATCGATCCAGCATATCATATACCGAGTTCCATGTGGTGAGTACTGTACACTGATTTTCAGTTTCAAAGGGGAAGTTTCTCCTGAAGATAGTTGTTCCTTTTGCAGCTGATGAGTTGCAGTTGTGCTGTGATGAAAAAAATGAAATAATGGGTTTCACTTTGTTTAGCAATTCATTAAATTCTGGTACGTTAGCCATTGAATCCTGCGCTGTGGGATTTAAAGAATGGGCAAAGCATTTAAGGTGTTTATCTTTTCCGACGAGAAGGTCTACTGCTTTGCAAATGTTTGCCTCATTATCGGTAACAACTACAACTATTTTGTGCCTTTCAATCCCAACAGTTGAACAGGTTTCTTCTAGGCACTTGGACAAATATTCAGCTGTATGACTTACTTTTAAATGTTTAAGTCCAATTATTGCACTTTTACAAACATAATCTTCCACAAAATGAGCAGTAGTTCCAAGATATGAACGTACAGTACATTAAAGGAATCAGTCCAGGAATCTGTTGTAAGATAAAAATCTTACTTTGGGAAGAAAAAAGTTTTCGTAGCTGTTCTTGGCAGAATTGAAACTTCAAATCTATTTTATCTCGAACCGTTTTCCTGTCTATTACTCGAAAATGTGGATTTACCATCTTCATAAATTTTCTGAAACCATCTCAATTCACAATATTAGCAGGTAGATTATCTTTTATAATGAATGAAACAAGTCCATTTATAATCTGTTTGTTCTTATTACCTCCTTCTGAAAATAAAAAAGACAATCAGTAGATTAATCGTTGATATAATCAAATAACTTAATATAAAATAAAATACACAATTAAACGGTTTTTTAAAAATTGTGTGGCAGGTTGTAGTAATTGAATAATGTTAACTTACTTGATTTGTCTTGCCACGTGGCTGCAAGAACCCTAACTACCACGTGGCAAGACAAATTAAATAAGTTAACATTATTCAATAAAATAAAATAATCAAAAAAAATGTAAAAAGGTACATTCAATAAACCACAAAAACTTTTGAAATGTTCATAAAAGTTTGACTTAACTTACCACTGTAAGATGAAATCAGGGAAAACGAATCGATGACACTTATTTGTGACGACTGTGAAGAGGCAGAAGCAGCACTGTTAGGACTACTATTACCTTCCACTTCCACGATTTCCATGTGGTCAGATTGACTATATGAGGTAGTAGGACGATTATCAACTTCCATCTTGCGAAAAATATGTTCGTGATAATTTTTCAAATTCGTCGCAAAATTGGTTGTGTTTCCACACTCTTTTAAACGTTTTTTTTCTTTTTTTTTTTTTTTAAATAACGCCAGATTTCTGATTTCTTCCTAGTCGCCGCCGTCATGTTTGTTTAATCTTCATCTTCTTCTCTCGCACTTGTGACTCGATCTATCAGCCTACTCCTGAGCTCTGANTTTTTTTTTTTTTTTAAATAACGCCAGATTTCTGATTTCTTCCTAGTCGCCGCCGTCATGTTTGTTTAATCTTCATCTTCTTCTCTCGCACTTGTGACTCGATCTATCAGCCTACTCCTGAGCTCTGACCGGCGGGACAAATTTGTTTAATCGATCAGTGTTTCTATTCGATTATGAGGTAATCGATTCCTGTTATAATCGATTAATTTCGATTGCTATTGATTAATCGCCCAGCACTATCTAGAACTTTTTCCTTTTCGTGTTCTCGCAGCTCTCGGCATTATTTATCAATCAATTTCAAAAATATTCACTTGAGATAAATACAATAACTCTTTCGAATATTTTGTACAATTACCTGCAGAAATTAATTAATGCGTAACGATTCGAAAACCCGCCATAAGTACACATACTGCCATCTAGCACGATGACGTCACTTTTAAGTCATCGAAGATTTTGCTAATTAACTAATTATAATTTAACGTCAGTTCTTTAAATATAATAGTAAACTTTAATAATAGACTTTTGTTATAGACAGAAAGTACTAATTCATGTGTCGCCATCTAGTGAAGAGAGAGACAAATATACAGACAAAAATCCGTTGCAGTTTTATTTAATTAATAAAAAATCTGTAGGATTGATTAGTGGTAAACATTGCGGGAATCATAAAGATGCTACAGTTAAAATTTGGTAACGATTGGTTTAGTAGTTTTCACGGTTAGTGGTCACAAACGAAAAATACGTTGCCTCTTTATATAGTAAGTAGTTATATAGTAGTATAGACTCTACAGAGCAGTGGCGGCCTTAGGGGGTGGCGAGCAGGGCACTCGCCCGGGGCCTCGCTCTTGGAGGGGCCTCGCGCAACAACCAAGTAGAAAAAAGTTGATATTTAAAACTTTTTATTTTATCCTTGGCTATTGGTTATAACAATAAAATAAATTTAATTTATAGTACAGTATATATTAATATTAATAAGTGCCTACTATTTCAATTCACATACTTTGCACAAAGGACAAGGGCCTCGCAAAGTTCTGCCGCCCAGAGCCTCGCAATGGATAAGGCCGCCGCTGCTACAGAGTATAGAAGATATAGATATAGATAATATGAATATTGACACATAAAAACATATTTCTGCTAACGAGAAAATCTTGTAAACCAGTTCAGAAAATTTTAAAAATTAAATTTACGATATTGTTATCATTAGATCAAGTTCATTGGAAGTAGATCAAGTTCATAGGAAGAAAAATAATAATTAAATAATATGTAAAAGTAAAGCATGAACACCCTTAGGTTACTTTATGAATAACCATAAAAAATATATGTTTTCAATATTTATTGGAATAATACACTTGATAGAATCACATTAAATTTTTGCCAGATCTCACTAATAGTTAGACCATGGTTTAAGTACATTTTATATTCATTTACTTTAATAATTTCTAAATGTTCAAATAATTCCCTTTTAATAATATTTTTTTTCTTTTTTGAGTATTTTAACATTATCAAGAGAGATCTCGCAACCTTCTCCATTATGATGTATGGCCACTGCTGAATTAATGTAATTATATTTAATTGCATGTAAATATTCTCGTAGGCTCTTTCAGTTTCAACTATATATTGATAATTCGGTTGGGTACTGCAGGAGATTTTATATATAACATTTATTTTGTTGCATCGTATCAATACTTTAAACAATTCTTTAGTTTTTAGCAATTTCTTAATATTAAATACTGGAGTTAGAATTATATTATACGGTTTTAATAGTTTTTTTTTTACTTTGTCATACTCTATGATGGGGATGTAAAAAAATTCTTTATAGGTTGTTTGTGTTTTTATTGTACTTTTTGGGTTGTATTAAGATCAGTATTGTAAAGCCATTTTTCTATAATCTTATTTGGATTTATTTCTTTAGTTTATTGAAGACTAGTAGCCCGGGACGCCCCCTAGTGGGCGTTGGTTACAAATTTCCATAAAGCACGGTTCCTTTGACTTTTTTATTCCTATCAATATGCTGTACAGCTTTGTTAAAGTCCCAATGGTAAGATTAGGTGAAGAGGTGGCGACCCCCCCAAACTGTAGCCCCCTGTGCGAACAATAAAGGCAAAGAAACCATACCCCTACTCGCGACCCTTCGCGAGATATAAGCCCCTGAAATAATAAATTGCTATTACAAATATACTGAATTATTTATATTGTTATATTGACCAAATAATAATTTATTGCCAAATGAATAATAATAATTCATATTGTTAATTTAAATAAGAATTAAAATTGTTAATTTGAATGTTTGAAATATGACACACGATAGGGGCGCCTCTAGTGTCCGTTATCAAACGGTTACGGGACAGACGGACGGACGGACGAACAGACGGATACCCGTTG